AGTTCCATCACGTAATACAGCGACTTCGTCCCGGCCCCATATATACTGTGTGCGATTATACGGGGTCATATGGCACCAACAGTGTACACGGCGCTGTACAAAATGAAGGCAGTGTGTGTTTGTATGTGTGTGTGCGTATGTATGTATGTGTGTGCGTGTGTATGTATGTGTGTGCGTGTGTATGTCTGTCTGTATGTATGTGTGTCTGTATGTATGTATGTGTGTCTGTATGTGTGTGTGTCTGTCTGTATGTATGTATGTATGTATGTATGTGTGTGTGTCTGTATGTGTGCATATATATATATATATAGATAGATAGATAGATACATGTATATATTTATTTTAACCATCGACAGACTGTCCCACATTGCAAGCCCGGTCACTATGCTTCTCTCCATACAACTTCAAAGCACAGCGACCCCCCCCCCCCCCCAATCCCCAATCCCCAATCCCCAATCCCCAATCCTAGTGCTTCTTTCATTCCAGTAAAGTGAGTTCTGATTGGTTGCTGTGAGCTGTTGCGCTTTGCTGCTGGTACTGTTTGTTCAATAATAACTTGACTTTGATCATCGCTGAGCAAACTGTTGGTGCGATATAAATTCTGTGTCATAATTATGATAATAGTAAAAAAAAAAAATAATGAATGATAAAAAAAATCTTGTATCACATAATAGTAATAATAACATAGGATCCAAAATGTAGTTTTTATTATTATCATGAATATTTTGTATCATAACATATAATAATAGGCAATTTTGTATCGTTGTTGTTAGTTTTATTATTAGGATACAAGATATTTTTATTAAAATCATTGTTGTATCGCATAATATATCTTGTATCATATAATAAATCTTGTATCCTAATAATAAAAAAACATTTTGTCTCGTTGTTGTTAGTTTTATTAATACTATTATTATTATTAGGATACAAGATATTTTTATTAATATTGTTGTATCGCATAATAAATCTTGTATCATATAATAAAACCAACAACAACGAGACAAAATGTTTTTTTATTATCATGAATATTTTGTATCATATCATATAATAATAGACAATTTTGTATCGTTGTTGTTGGTTTTATTATATGATACAACAATAATATTAATAAAAATATCTGTTGTATCCTAATAATAAAAACTAACAACAACGATACAAAATTGTCTATTATTATATGATATGATACAAAATATTCATGATAATAATAAAACTTTTTGTATCGTTTGTTGTTAGTTTTATTATTAGGATACAAGATATTTTTTTTATTAATATTATTGTTGTATCATATAATAAAACCAACAACAACGATACAAAATTGTCTATTTATTATTGATATGATATGATACAAAATATTCATGATAAAAAAAAACATTTTGTCTCGTTGTTGTTGGTTTTATTATATGATACAAGATTTATTATGCGATACAACAATATTAATAAAAAATATCTTGTATCCGAATAATAATAATAGTATTAATAAAACTAACAACAACGAGACAACGAAAATGTTTTTTTATTATTAGGATACAAGATTTATTATATGATACAAGATATATTATGCGATACAACAATGATTTTAAATAAAAATATCTTGTATCCTAATAATAATAATAGTATTAATAAAACTAACAACAATGAGACAAAATGTTTTTTTTATTATATGATACAATATCATATCATCATAATAACTAGAAAAGCTCCAATTTCTGGGGAAATTGTGTGAAGTGTTCTTGCCTCCATCAGTCGTCTACAACTGGAGTGGGGGGAGTAACTGGGTGGAGTGGCTTGTCACTCTGCTGCCTGCTCACAAACCTGGGTTCCTATGGCAACTCACTCTACAGCAAGGGCAGATAAGAGCGGTTAAAAAACAAACTGCTCCAACTTGCTCACTTCACTGGCCGTTGCCATCTTCAGACGGTTGTAGTTTAAAAAACTATAAATCCTACGTTGAACAGCTTTATATTGTGAGAATCACAAGACCCAGACCTACATTGTGATGTATAGTATGTCTCTGAAATATTACAAATGAAGGCACAGTCTCCGTTTAGAAATTGCCCTTCAAATTTGAGGTGGCTAGAGTGGAGTTTCAATGAATGTCAATGGGCGGCGTGCGTTGCAAACAAATGGTCATATTGTGAAAACTTTCAGGACTATGGCTTAGCCGTGACATTTTTAGTGGCAGCCGGGATAGCTGAACGTTTTGCTATAAGATTTGTGTAGGTGGGCTGGAAGATGAGGGAGTCATGGCAGTTTAGAAATCATGTTCTGATTTGTCAGCTCACACTCTAGCTTTTGTCAGCTCACACTCTAGCTTTGAACATTCCGCCATTCATTCCTATGGGACCAATTTCACCACAAAAACTGCGATATTTCATTAACCATTTGGCAAAACGTTCCACAAAGTAATAGCGCACCAATCGGGAACAATCCACACGTTTCCGTATATTACTGTCTGTAGTGTAAGAACTGTGGGAGGAGTTAGGGGGGTAAATTGGCTATAATAAGAATATATATGTGAGATAACAAGAAGTGGTCACCAGGCAACAACACTTAATGATAGTATTAGTAAAACTAAACGATACAAAATTGCCTTTTTTATTATATTATATGATACAAGATATTCATGATGATCATCATAATACTAGATTTGGTATCATATGTTGTTGTTATTATGTGATACAAGATATTTGTATTATTATTGTATCATATATCATTGTAAAAATTAAACAACATACGATACAAATGATAGTATTAGTTATCTTGTATCACATAATAATAAAACATTTTGTTACATTTTTATTATTATTATTAGGATACAAGATTATTAGTATTGATATTATAGGATACAAGATATTAATAATCATACATTTGCTATCATATTATTATACAATACAAGATTATTATCATTATTAGATACAATATTAACAATAAACATATCTTGTGTCATAATAATAGTAATAGAGGTAATAATAATATTAATCATCATAATAATAAAACCAACAACAATGCAACATTTTATTATTATTACCACTATTATGATACAAGATTTATAATACATTTTCTATTATATGTTAATACAAGATTACAATAATAATATTAATAAACATATCTTGTATCATAATAATAAAAGTAATAGTGGTAATAATAATAAAATGTTGCATTGTTGTGGTGGTTTTATTATTATTATGATGATTAATATTATTATTACCTCTATTACTATTATTATGACACAAGATATGTTTATTGTTAATATTGTATCTAATAATAATCTTGTATAGCAAATGTATGATTATTAATATCTTGTATCCTATAATATCAATACTAATAATCTTGTATCCTAAGAATAATAATAACTGTCATTGAGCATATTGACTGTTAAGGCTCATACACACAGGCGGCCAGAGGGCGGTAAAAATAAGTCGTTGATCCGTTGTTTCACTGCCCCTGAATCTCCCTCATTAAATCGAAATTTTAGTCCCCTTTCCTTTGCCCCCCCCCCCCCCTCTTCTGCACCTCCATCCTTACTATTCTGGAGCATGTGAAGGGCTGTGCCTGGCCTTCTGGTCCCAACAGAGCCCTGCGGGACACCCGCACATGTGCAGACACAGCACGGTGCGCTCTTCTATACCTGCTCTGTGTTTGCGCATGCACAGGGCTCTGCTGGGACCTGAGGCAGGGGGTAAGAATTGTTCTAGAAAGGGGAGATATAGAGGGGTGCTAGGAGCAGGGGCGGACTGACAACTCATGGGGCCCCCGGGCAATAGGGGATCATGGGGCCCCTGTGTCCTTGCCCAAATTCAAAAAAGCCTATGAAAAAGGTACCAGGGGCATCTCATGGGGCCCCCTACTGACCCCGGGCCCTCGGTCAGTGCCAGAGTTTCCAAATGGTCAGTCCGCCCCTGGCTAGGAGTTGTGATTTGGGGGGATTTGTGTTGGGAGGCAGAATGGGGGGGGGGGGGGGGGGGAGATGATGCAGTGCATTCTGGTCTAGCCCCCTACCGCCCAATTCTGACATTGTTGTACCAAGGTCATCAGGTTTGGGGGAGGGGGAGGACTGACTGGTCACATGAGCACTGTGATTGGCTGTCCCAGTGGTCACATGATGGAGAGCCAGTCCCACTGGCTCCTGATCATGAGCAGTGAAGAGTACCTGTCACTCTGATTCCAGGAAGCAGGATCACTCCAGAAATGGAAGATACATGTGACCTGGAGCTCCCCACCCAAATAACCGGAAAATCCAGCTCCCCGTGTCGGTTCACTGCGATCTCTCCTACAACCATCGTCTATGGAGCCATCCATTCACCTTCTGCTGCACCTCACATGGCCATCCTGATGTTCATCATTGGTGGGGAATAAGTGAAGCAAATCCCTGAGAAGCCTCCGATGGAAGCTGTCATTTCAGGACTCGGGGACTGTGATACCAAATCTACCGAGCTTTATTGCGAGCTGCGCCATTGTACCGGGAGCAGCGCACACGTATGAAGGTTGCTTTATGTCATCACTGGGTCTCTGTGCTTCTCTATGCAATGCAGGCAGATCGTGGCTGGTATTAGGAGCTGGCAGGGGGCTGTACATAGCTTGCTGAAAACATCCCAGCACCCGGCCACAGTACACCTCTCAGGAGTTCTGATGCAAGCAGTGGGAGGAGTTATGCAAATATAAAAAAATCCTTGATGGGTGGGTGTCAGTCTGGAGGAGTGGGCGTTCCTAGGCAGGATGTAAGTAACGCCCACATGTGATGCCGAGCCTCCATGATTGAAAGAACTGAAATCCAATGGATGAAAGGGGCGGGGCCAGTGAAAGTCAGGCTGGGGAGGGAAGTGCTAGATGATGCTGGATGTCCTTCAGCCAGGAATTGAGGCGGAGCTCTGTCTGACTGGCTGCAGCTTCTAATGCACATTGTGAGAAGCTCCCAGTGTGCAGTGACATCAGAGGAAGCCATTCCAGTCAAGGGGAGGAGCCTGTGCACGACTGAAGGGGAGGAGCCACTACACCTGTGCAAGACTGAAGGGGAGGAGTCACTACACCTGTGCAAGTCTGAAGGGGAGGCGTTGCTACACCTGTGCAAGATTGAAGGGGAGGAGCCGCTACACCTGTGCAAGACTGAAGGGGAGGAGCCGCTACACCTGTGCAAGACTGAAGGGGAGGAGCCGCTACACCTGTGCAAGACTGAAGGGGAGGAGCCGTTACACCTGTGCAAGACTGAAGGGGAGGAGTCGCTACACCTGTGCACAACTAAAGGGGAGGAGCCGCTACACCTGTGCCAGACTGAAGGGGAGGAGCCGCTACACCTGTGCCAGACTGAAGGGGAGGAGCCGCTACACCTGTGCCAGACTGAAGGGGAGGAGCCGCTACACCTGTGCCAGACTGAAGGGGAGGAGCCGCTACACCTGTGCCAGACTGAAGGGGAGGAGCCGCTACACCTGTGCCAAACTGAAGGGGAGGAGCCGCTACAAACCTGTGCCAGACTGAAGGGGAGGAGCCGGTACACCTGTGCAAGACTGAAGGGGAGGAGCCGCTACACCTGTGCGAGGAGCCTGGATATGTAAATGTGGATTGTCCCCGGAGATGGAATGCGGTCGGCACACAGGAACGGGTTCAGCTGGTCGGGTATCTTGTGGACTTCGGTCTCCATTTATAGTAAATAGAAGAGATGAGGAATGAGCCGGATCGTTCCTCATCAGTCCCTCTGCCTGCCGCCTACTGACAGCTCACTGCGGATATGATCAGACTGTACATTGTAACTTTGAAGAAGGAAGAGGAATCATTTCCTCAGTCTCCCCTCCCCCAGTGATCAGACTGTACATTGTAACTTCGTAGAAGGAAGAAGAATCATTTCCTCAGTCTCCCCTCCCCCAGTGATCAGACTGTACATTGTAACTTTGTAACAAGTCACAAGGTGAGAGACTGCAGCAGGGGGCTGATCTGTGTCAGGCATTTCTCAAGAGAGCCAAGAACTGCACAGGCACCAGGATTTTACATGATTGCATCATATCCGAGCCGTGCATCATTTATCAATAACGGGGGTTGATAATTTAAGGGGAGGGACCCAAGTCTATACGCCCGCTGTGCCCATTATGAGGGTTCCCACCATCCCTGTGCTGAGTTCCCGGGTCTGTACGCCTGCTGTGCCCATTATGAGGGGTTCCCACCATCCCTGTGCTGAGTTCCCGGGTCTGCACTCCTTCTGTGCCCATTATGAGGGGTTCCCACCATCCCTGTGCTGAGTTCCCGGGTCTGTAATCCCGCTGTGCCCATTATGAGGGCTTCCCACCATCCCTGTGCTGAGTTCCCGGGTCTGTACCCCCGCTGTGCCCATTATGAGGGCTTCCCACCATCCCTGTGCTGAGTTCCCGGGTCTGTAATCCCGCTGTGCCCATTATGAGGGGTTCCCACCATCCCTGTGCTGAGTTCCTGGGTCTGTAATCCCGCTGTGCCCATTATGAGGGGTTCCCACCATCCCTGTGCTGAGTTCCTGGGTCTGTAATCCCGCTGTGCCCATTATGAGGGGTTCCCACCATCCCTGTGCTGAGTTCCCGGGTCTGTACCCCCGCTGTGCCCATTATGAGGGGTTCCCACCATCCCTGTGTTCCCGGGTCTGTACCCCCGCTGTGCCCATCATCATGTCTATTTATTTTGTATTATTGAAATTTACAAACATCACTAACAACATTTCATCTGTTTTTCTCTTTCAGTACAATGTCTGGAGACGATGAATTCTCGGTAAGGCGACATATTTCTGATTGTATCCATTGTTCACAAAGCTCAACAGCTCATTGACATTTACACACACAAGTGACTGAGCGAGGAATCTCCTCCCCCCTCCGTGACTGAGCGCGGAATCTCCTCCCCCTCCGTGACTGAGCGCGGATTCTCCTCCCCCTGCGTGACTGAGCGCGGAATCTCCTCCCCCTGCGTGACTGAGCGCGGAATCTCCTCCCCCTCCGTGACTGAGCGCGGAATCTCCTCCCCCTCCGTGACTGAGCGCGGAATCTCCTCCCCCTCCGTGACTGAGCGCGGATTCTCCTCCCCCTCCGTGACTGAGTGCGGAATCTGCTCCCCCTCCATGATTGAGCGTGAAATCTCCTCCCCCTCTGTGACTGAGCGCGGAATCTCCTCCCCCTCCCTCCATCTGGCTCCATATTGGGTTTCAGAGTGTCTGAAAGGAAGCAGCTTCTGCTCTGCTGTCTTTAGGAACCCCCCCCCCCCATGGTGCTCTGGGAATCCTTTGTCATGGGTGTACCCGGGGGATCCTTTGTCATGGGTGTACCCCGAGAATCCCTTGTCATGGGTGTACCCCGAGAATCCCTTGTCATGGGTGTACCCCGGGAATCCCTTGTCATGGGTGTACCCCGGGAATCCCTTGTCATGGATGTACCCCGGGAATCCCTTGTCATGGGTGTACCCCGGGAATCCCTTGTCATGGGTGTACCCCGGGAATCCCTTGTCATGGGTGTACCTCGGGGATCCTTTGTGATGGGTGTACCCCGGGGATCCTTTGTCATGGGTGCTCTGGGGATCCTTTGTCATGGGTGCTCTGGGAATCCTTTGTCATGGGTGTACCCCGGGAATCCTTTGTCATGGGTGTACCCCGGGAATCCCTTGTCATGGGTGTACCCCGGGGATCCTTTGTCATGGGTGTACCCCGGGGATCCTTTGTCATGGGTGCTCTGGGGATCCTTTGTCATGGGTGCTCTGGGAATCCTTTGTCATGGGTGTACCCCGGGAATCCTTTGTCATGGGTGTACCCCGGGAATCCCTTGTCATGGGTGTACCCCGGGGATCCTTTGTCATGGGTGTACCCCGGGGATCCTTTGTCATGGGTGCTCTGGGAATCCTTTGTCATGGGTGCTCTGGGAATCCTTTGTCATGGGTGTACCCCGGGAATCCTTTGTCATGGGTGTACCCTGTATTTATAGTGTGTGTTACCTTTCATGTAATCTGTTGGGTGCTCCATTGTTCTTGCTCTGATATTGATACATTGTATTGATCCTTTATTACATACCCGGAGTTCCTGCCCTGTAACTGCTAGTTGGACCTTCAGGATGCTGTGTGAAGGCACGGTGTGCCCCTGGCTTTGTAATCAGCCAGCTATACCCCGCCCCCGCCCAGCCCTGCTCGGCTTGATAGCAGGGATTGGCCAGATGCTGTTTCTATCTAACCACACCCCCTGCCATGCAATAGAGGGATCCTATTGGAGCTCATCCCTTCTGAAGTTGATGGCTGCTGATACATTACTTCCAGGTGTCTTGAAGGCCTCATTCACATTGGTGGCCTCTACCGCCCTCTGGAAAGTGATCCAAGCAGCGATTCTGCCACTATAAAACTCCTTGCGATTTTGTTAATCCCAAGGAGTTTTATATTGTAATTCCCCACCGCAACCAGACGCAGCCCCATTGGCCTGACTGAGCGCGGATGTCGGGTGGTCCCACCCACCAGACTTGATAAGTCGAATTAAACATACAAAGCATCGCGACCTCGGCATGTATCCCACCTCCTCCGTCTGCCGTGGGTGGCTTTAGGTGGGCGGTAAGAACACGGATCAGCCTGCTTTTCTTGTCCCTTTGGTGCCCATGTGAAAGAGGCCTTCTATGGCAACCAATGATTCCATATGACAGCCCCAGAGCCCTGAGAAAGGGGTCACTGATCCCCCGAAACGCGTCGTCCATTTTATAGGAATTATTATTAGGAAAAGATTCTGGACTCGCCAATTTAGTTTGGTGCTCTAATTACCTACATGGAGGAAAAATATACAAATAATCTTCCCAAATATATTGACATTATATTTCAAATACTACAATTTTGGCCGTATTCAGTATATTTAAAAAATAATAATTTAAAAAAATGAATAAAATAATAATAAAATATATTTTTTAATTATTATTATTTTACTATTTATTATTTATTATTATTTTATATATATATATGTTTGTGTGTGTGTATGTATATATATGTATGTGTGTATATATATATATATATATGAGATGCGTTTTTTTATAGATTACAAAATATATGAAAAATATTTTTTAAAATATATTTTTTTAAATCTATTCTTCAGATTTTTTTTAACATATAAAAAAGTAATTTTAACATATATTTGTAAATGCATTCCAATAATGTAGTTTTGAATTTTTAAAGGGATACATTATATGTGAAAGTTTTTTTATTTATTTATTTTTTATTTTGAAAATTTTTTTTCATATATTTTTGTAAAAAATGCATTTCAACATACAGTGTGTGTGTGTGTGTGTGTGTATGTATGTATGTGTATGTATGCATGTATATATGTATGTGTGTATATATATATATATATATATATATATATATATGTGTATGTATATATGTATGTATGTATATATATATATATATATATATATATATATATATATATATATATATATATATGAATGCATTTTTATTACACAATATATGAAAAAAATAAAAATACATAATTTTATTTTTTTAAGATATTTAATAAGGCCAAAATTTTAATATTTCAAATATATGTCAATATATTTGGGAAGAATATTTTTAAAATATATTTTTCTTCCATGTGGGTAGACTGTATATACCGCTTGGCTTGATTGACAGCAGGGAATGGCTTCTTTGTAACCACGCCCCCCTGCCTCTGAATGGAGCTCTTGTGGTCACATGACCGCCTAATAAGGTAATTGGCCACAATTTATATTGTATAGGAACTTTTTTTTTTTTTTATATGCGTTTTAATATATATATATATATGACAGTTGTGCTGCAAAGTCTCCCTCCTCTGGCAGAAATGCTGACATTTTGGCATTGATGATAAAAATCTGACGAATCGTGCCGAAAACTGTCTTTTTATGTAAGGATGGTGATGATATGAAGCCATTTATGATCACATGGTTGTTCGGCTCCTTTTTTGAAATTCTAATGAGAACAGAAATCCCCCAAATCGCCCGGATCAGAAGTCTCCGCCCCCAGATCAGAAGTCTCCGCCCCCCAGATCAGAAGTCTCCGCCCCCCGGATCAGAAGTTTCCCTCCCCTGGAATGTTCATCCTTGGTACAGACACACAAGGGGACACACACAGGGTACAATGGCCATTAAAGGTTAATGTCCCACATCTGTGGATTTTTACATTGCAGTCAGTGTCTGTGTACAAATAGTCGGTGAGTTTGTCATCTCTCATGTGGAAGCACTGAGCAGGCTAGATACTGAGCCATGGGGAGCAGAAAAAAACTGTCAAAAGACCTGTGTAACAAGGTGATGGAACTTTATAAAGATGAAAAAGGATATCCAAAGCCTTGAATAGGCCGGTCAGTCCTGTCCAATCACTTATTAAGAAGTGGAAAATTCGGGGCTCTCTTGATGCCAAGTTCAGGTGGACCAAGAAAGATTGCAGCCACAACTGCCAGATGAATTGTTTAGGATACAATGAAAAACCTTCACAGGTCACCTTAGGGCAAATCCAGGCTGTTCTGGAAACAGACGGTGTGGTTGTGTCAAGGAGGACAATATGACGATACTTGAACAAAAATGAGCTGCATGGTGGAGTTGCCAGAAAGAAGCCTTTACTGCGCCAATGCCACAAAAAAGCTTGTTTACAATATGGCCGACAACACCCTGACACGCCTCACACTGTAATCTGGAGTGACGAGGCCAAAATAGAGCTTTATGGTCACAACCAACCA